TGTGTGCCTTGGAAGAGGACTGTATGGCAGGAAATCGTAACGAGGACCTCACGTGTTTCTTTGGAGAAGACCTCTACGCTGAGCCTCCAAACTGCCATAGGTATGAGAATCAGACGAAACGACTTCTCCTTTTTATTCAGTTCTGCCACATAAGGTAAACTGGTGAAGGCTTCGTTCAGACTTCGCGACCGAAGAGCTGCCGTCGCGAAGTCTGAACGCTGCCTAAGTCCCAACCTGAGTGACGTCGGTGGTTCAGTTACGTCTTCCTCCTCTCACTTACCCTCTTGTGGGTTGTCTGCCAGTGTCTTCTTACTGGCTTTAGGTCACTCCTATACAGATGACCGAATAGCATGTTGCCCACCTTCGTCCTTTTCCACTTGGCTCCTCTTCTGACAAGCTTTCACGATACGGTGAAAAGCTAAATAATACTAGTAATTAGCCAGGTGCACCGCTCAGTTCACAGCGGCAAGAAGGCCGCCTTGGGCGCATTCCATTCTTTTCGAAACTGCCCCAACTGTTTGCGACGATATCTGTGAACTCGACCCCCACTCTTTTCGGGAAGCCATGTCGTAACCACGTCGCTTCCTTTTCCCTGGAGAACCTCAGGATAACTTTTTTAGGTATGATCAGTCCGTGTTGAATGTCCTGGTTGCAAACTCTCATTGGTACGACAAGCACTACTATGCCAGTGAAATTGTCGATTTTTTCGATGTCCACAGACGCTATGACTTACCGATGTTTGAATTGTGATATGCTTGTCTCTAGCAATTTACTTTGATGCATAATAATTCTTAACTTACTTAATTTGTGTCTATGTTCTCCAAGAATAACTGGAATCTCACCAGCACATCAAAGACACTGTTCGGGCATGCCCAGTGGGAACCGTGAAACGACGTTTAGACGCTTGCCTCATCTTCGTGCTTTTCTTGCCTCAGACATCCCCGCACTCAAGCAAGTCCCAGGCTTCCTTCCTTGTATGAGGGGGGGGGGTCCTTGGCCCCAGTCTCCGAGGCTATATCACTTTCACGGCTACATGGCGAGTATGTAAGGAGGGCGCTGCGACCCCCGTAAGTAGTAGTTCTGACGCCTCCCTAGCTGTTCCGCCCACCAAAACCAAGGCTATTTTCTGTGCTGCTCTACAAGGAGTTTAGCTTTCATACCGCGTTTTTCGTATTTTTCGTTATATAGTATTAGCATTGGATGGTACGAAGGAACGATAGTCAGCCAAAGGCGGCAGAATATCGCTTTACTAGCATGAAACGAGCAGGTCCGGATAGCTCGCACAGCGAGACTGTCAAGTGTCCCTAGTTAAAATTCCCTCGACTTATTTTTTGCTTTTTCTTTCTTCTTATACTGTTACTTGGCCGACTAAAGTTCGTTACTGATTGCCATGACTAACAGCACGCATTCGCGAACTTGTATTCAAGAGTATGGGAACACTGAAGGCCGTGCCAACGTCGTTCTCTGACTCCGCCCACCCAGCTATCCCGAACAGTGACTTTAAGCTTCAGCTTCTTCACTTCTGCTTTACTGCTTATTGATTTTCTTCTTATCACTTTTCACACCCGGCTAACCTTTGACTTCCGGTGAATGTCCTCCCAGCAGAAGTATTCCTGCTCATTATTTCGTTTCTTTCGCCTCCTAATGCTAGAATTCGGCATTAGGTCGTTCAATGAAGTAGAGGAAAAGCTAGTACTAAAACTAAATAGTTAACTATCTCCTAACAAGCCTGGTAACTCCATTGTTAAATTCCGTTCTGGTCCTAATAATGCTGTGTTGTTGTTTTCAATCATTCTGCATTTGTTTGATTGATTCATAGCTGTGATGTACGCCGCACATGTAAGGCCGCGTTCATACTTA